GTGAGTGTGTGTGTGTGTGTGTGTGCGTGTCTCTGCGTGTGTGTCTCTGTTTCTGTGTCTGTGTGTGTCTGTGAGTGTGTGTCTCTGTGAGAGTGTGTGTGTGTGTGTGTGTGTGTGTGTGTGAGTGTGTGATTGTCTGTGTCTGTGTTTGTCTGTGTCTGTGAATGTCTGGGTCTGTGAGTGTGAGTGTGTGTGTGAGTGTCTGTCTGTGTCTGCATCTGTGTCTGTGAGTGTGAGTCTCTGTCTGTTTCTGTGTCTGTGAGTGTCAGTGGCTGTGAGTGTGAGTGTGAGTGTGTGTGTGTGTGTAAGAGTGTGTGTGTGTGTGTAAGAGTGTGTGTGTCTGTGTCTGTGTCTGTGTGATTGTGAATGTGTGTGTGTGTGTGGGTGTGTGTGGGTGGCGTATGTGTTTGTTTAATCATTTCATTTGGTCCCTTAAGGCAGGGGTTCCCAAACTTCCATTCCACGACCCACCTAGAGAAGTATAATCTATATCATGACCCACCAAAATATTTGGGATAAAAAAACAGCTGACATTACTTTAAGCTTAATCTTAATTAAGTTTAATATGGCAGAAATTAAGAATTTAAGAAAAATAACCAATTTATTTTATACAGTAATACAACTGTAAAATTTCACTACTAATATTTGTGACTCTGCAGCACAAAAGCAGTCATAAGCAGCACAGGTATATTTGAAGCAATAACCAACGATACATTGTATGGGTCAAAATTATACATTTCTCTTTTATGCCAAAAATCATTAGGATATTAAGTAAAGATCATGTTCCATGAAGATATTTAGTAAATTTCCTACTGTAACTATATCAAAACTTAATGTTTGATTAGTAATATGCATTGCTAAGAACTTCATTTGAACAACTTTAAAGATGATTTTCTCATTATTTAGATTTTTTTGCACCCTCAGATTCCAGATTTTCAAATCGTTGTATCTTGGTTACAATTAACCATGCATTTGTGCCCCGCTCACCCCGTATATGTGAAATGCTTTTTACACACTGTTTACTTATTAGTAGGCAGCCAAATGCATATGAAGGAACGAAAATAGCGCCGAGTTCAAACAGACGATAGAAATGAATGGACACAGACTACCTGAAACAGTTTTCATAACATTTGAATTTTCCGGCGTAATGCAATCTCATGCAGAATACAGCGCAGTGAAGTGAGCGAGTTTCTTCTTGTTAATAATGCGGACCCAGCCTTTTAATAATGACATCGCTCTGAGACCCTCACTGTTGTTACAACTCGTACGCGCCCGCGCTTCAAAACACGCAACGCATGTTTAAAATCGAACTAAGAATTTTGCAATTCGTTATTAATGTTGGTAGCCTATATCATGCAACCCTAGTGAGTGTGAGAGTGTGAGAGTGTGAGAGTGTGAGAGCGTGTGAGCGTGTGCGAGTGTGACTGTGAGTGTGAGCGTGAGAGAGTGTGACTGTGAGAGAGTGTGACTGTGAGCGTGTGAGAGTGTGTGTGTGAGAGTGTGTGAGCGTGTGAGCGTGTGCGAGTGTGACTGAGTGCGAGTGCGAGTGCGAGTGTGAGTGTGAACGTGAGTGTGAACGTGAGTGTGAGCGTGTGTGAGAGAGCGTGTGAGAGAGCGTGAGAGAGTGTGACTGTGAGTGTGAGCGTGTGAGAGTGTGACTGTGAGCGTGTGAGTGTGAGTGAGTGTGACTGTGAGCGTGTGAGTGTGAGTGAGTGTGACTGTGAGCGTGTGAGTGTGAGTGAGTGTGACTGTGAGCGTGTGAGTGTGAGTGAGTGTGACTGTGAGCGTGTGAGTGTGAGTGAGTGTGACTGTGAGCGTGTGAGTGTGAGTGAGTGTGACTGTGAGCGTGTGAGTGTGAGTGAGTGTGA